TCATCCTGCGCTGGGCACATGGCATTTGTCTTTGTGCAGCCAGGATTGTCAGCGGATCAACTTTGACGGGGGCTGACTGCCACCCCTCCCCCAATAACCATAAGATATCTGAGCAGAAGTAGGCCATTCAGGCCATCGCGACTGCTTTGTCATTCAATCATGGCTGATCTAATAATCTTCAATTCAGTGTGGTGACCCTCAGGTTAAACCACCACCAGCTGTCTCTCTCCAATGAAGGAGCAGCCTTGTGGTCTGGTAAGACTGAGACAACTTTACCTTTTTACACCATTTTCCTGCCTTTTCTCCGTAACTCTCGATTCCCCTGCTGATTAAAAATCTGCCTTTCTCACACTTGAACTTACTTGACAGCCCGGCCCAGTTTAGTTTGGGGTTTGGGGAAGTGTTGCAGTTTTTTGGCAACATGCCGAACTGTAACAGTGTCCAGTTGATGGAGAGAAGGGTGCAGCCTCTGAGGCTGGTGTGGGGAGGCTCAAGGTTTCTCAGGTGGTTGTGAATCTGAGAGACTTCAACAATCTCTCTTTGCCTCTTCCCGGCAGCTGTAACGCTGTATCCCGCACTCTGTTCTATTACCCTGATGCACTTGTATGGTACAATCCGCCTGTAAAGCACATAACACAACACTTTTCACTGTACCTCGGTACACATGACAGTAATAAATCAAATCAAATCAAATCAGCCCTCTGTGGTAGAGAATTTCACAGATTCACTACCCTCAGAGAAGAAATTCCTCCTCATCCGTCTTAAATGGGCAACCCCTGACTCTGAGATTATGCCCTCTGGTCCTAGACTCTCCCACAATGGGAAACAACCTTCCTGCATCTATCCTATGAATTCCTCTAAGAATCTTTGATGTTTCAATAATGATATGTTTCTTATTCTGCAAAACTCCAATGATTACAGGTCCTACCCATTCAAGACAATCCCTCCATGCCTGGGATCAGCCTAGTGAACTTTCTTTTCTTTAGATAAGGGTCCAAAACTGTGTGCACTATTCTAGTTAAAAATGCAGATTTGGGAAATTACCTGAGCATATCAGCAGACCTGGCAGGAGATGTTCCATTCAAGCTTTGGGCTGTAAATCTGAATTCTTGAGAGGTTGACATTACCTGCAAACTGCTGAGGGAGTGCTGCACTGCCAGAAGGTGCTGTACTGCAGGTAAAGAGGTCAACTGAGGTTCCCTTGTGTATGCACAATCGGGAAGTAAATCATAGATCACAGAAGAAGGCCGTTCAGCCCGTTGATTTTGTACTAGCTCCTTGAAGAACCATTCAATTAGACCCATTTCTCCCTGTCCTCCAGCTATTTTTGCAAGTATTTATACAGTTCCCTTTTGATATTTCTGACTGACTCTGATTCCACCAGCATGTTCCAGATCACAACAACTTGATGAATAGAAATATATTTTCCTCTTCCCCATCTGTTTCTTTTGCCTATTATTGTAAATCTGTGTCCTCAGGTTATCAAATTTCCTGTCAGTGAGCACAGTTTAACTTTAATCGTATCTGCCGATCTCTCCTAATTCTCACTTTAGCCTTCTTGGCTGCATGGCTAACAGTATCTCTTTGCATACCTGAAGTCCCCAAATCACTGATGGTTTTGGTAATCCTCCTCTGCACCTTTCACTGTGTTTTAAGAGACAAGAAGGTAGGCAGACTTGGGTGACCTGTGTAGTACAGTGCTGGCTGGAGCTGAGTGAACTGCTCTCTCTCTCTCTCTCTCTGGGTTTCAAGTCACTCCAGACCCTTAAACCTCCTAATCCATGCTGAACCTCTTTGTGGGCACTCAGCAATTCAGCAGAACTGGCTGGGTGGAACCTGGATAGAAAATCAACTCCCAAAATGTACTGAACAAAGATTCAGCACAGGCAGAGGCTATTCAGTGCCAAATGCTTGTGCCGGCTCTTCATGCCATCAAGTTAATTTCTCTCATTTCTCCTGTGCTTGCCCAATAACCCTGTGATTTTCCTCCTCTTTCAATATCAATCCAATTTCATTTGGAAAGTTCCAGTTGAAGCTGCTTCCACTGCCCCTTCAGCCACCACGTTCCAGATTACAGCTTATTGCTTGAAAAGAAGTCTCCTGATCTCGACTTGTTTTACCTTTGACAGTGACCAACAGCCCTCTGCCCCACCAATGGAAACAGTTTCTCTGTTGGCATCATTTGAAGGTGAGCAAAGGGGTTCCCCCCCCTCCCTCCCTTGCATCCTGGGGATGACATTCTTCCCCAAACAGGTTGCTGTCACTGGGATCTTGCTGTACAATAAACTGGTTCCCAGGCTTACCTGGGTTACTGTGTTGTGCACAAAGCTCTTTATTGTGGCTTATTGTTGGATCCTGGATTTCACTGGACTTCAAAATGCAATGCATTCGACTTTCGATTTGACAGTCCGGTGTCTGGATTGTCATGGTTTAATTGAGATGAAATATGTTTGATGTTGTTTATAAAGGTTCTTTTTTATCAGCAAGGAAATCAAGGATTATGGGGGAAAGGCAGGAAATTGGAGTTGAGGATTATCAGAATAATCACGATCTCATTGAATGGCAGAGCAGACTTGATGGCCTGAATGGCCTACTTCTGCTTCTATGTCTAACAGCCTTTTGTATTAATGAGGTGCCCAAACCTGTCCTGTTTTATACTCTCCGTTGAGTGCGGGAGTGCCTAATCTCAATATTGCACACAGGACTCTTAAGTGCAGCACAGGTAATATCAGAGACTAAAATTTCTCTTGTTCATTCATGGTCATCCCTGCTGGGCCTGCATTTATTGCCCCTCCCTATGTGCCCCTGGAGATTCTGGTGGTGAGCTGCCTTCTTGAACTGCTGTAGCCTAAGTGAGGTGTGCTGTTAGGGAGGGAGTTCCAGGAATTTAATCCAGCAACTTTCTTCTTATTTCAAAAACATACTTTATTCGATAGAAAAAATCTTTGTGTATATACATTGTCACAAATGCAGTTCAGTTCTGTACAGTTGCATATCAAGTAAATAAAAGATTGGACTTTTGACTCTAGCCAAAAAAGCCAAAGACCTCCCTTATACACAGAATACTAATATTTAGATATATTTGAGGCACTGGGATGATGCGATAACTGAACAGACCCCCATTTACCTTCAGCAGGAAGACCTCAAACAGTAGTCGTTCCCCACTGCGCCTTGACCCAGCAAGACTGAAGGAATAGCAATACCCTGCACCAGAGCATTCCTCTTGCTCCTTCTCCTGCACCATGCCTTGTCACATTACGGTGCATTTCTCTTGGTTACAGACCAGCATGTGAAATAGGAAATAGACATTCGGACCCTGGCATCTGCTCCTCTATTTTAAAAGATCATGGCCGATCAGTTTGTGCTCAAATTCCTGCATTCCTACACTCCCCCCAGCCCCTGATGATCTTGGATCCCCCTGCCTGATGATAATCAATCTACATGGCCGGCTGTGCTGCAAACTTGGTTTTCCACTAAGTGTTTCCCTAACCCCCTGGAAGTGGGTCCGTTAGGTGGATGGCTGGCTTTGTGATGGAAACATAATGCCGAGTGCACGGGTTGGCTGAAGTTACCATGAAGGACTCTCCCTCCCAACCTCGCCTGAGGTGTGGTGACCCTCAGGTTAAACCTACCACCGGCTGTTGTGTCTCTAACGGGAGGACTGTAGTGATTTTTAACCTCCTGGGGTGCCGTCATGACGCAGACCCTTCTGTCTCATCCCTGTGGACCATGCATCCCGCCCGAACCCCGGAAGGCAAGCAACCATCCAGCTATTCGAACACGGTAGGCATCACCTTCCACCTTAATTCCTTTTGGCAGCCTCGTCACCTTCCCTGCTTGCCCCATATCACGCATTGGCGGCACTTTGTTGGATAAGATCCGGAACATCTTGCCTGCTTATTCCCAATCCCCCTTCACTCCCTAGGCTAGAGGTCCTGGGGCCAACTTTGCTGTGACGCGCTGATTCAGTGTGAACTCAGTGCAGATTCTGTGATGTTCTAAGGCCAAACCCCAGATTCCCACAGCAGCTGAGATGAAACCAGCAAGCAGCTCTGCCACATTCCTTACATCAATTATTCTATGAATTAAAGTGCTGCCAGACTTTCTGTAGGCTGTGTTTAGTTTGTTTCCCTCTCTCTCTCTCTCACTCCCACAGTACAACAGATGATTAACAAGCAACGTGGAAACAAAATCAGATAAACAATGAAGTGGCGTTTTTTTTTCCACATCTGTGCACAATTTTTTTTCTCTGTTCCAACAAAAGCCCAGCAGTTCTTTCTGAAACACACACACACACACACTCACAAATCAGGTGATTGATGCAACACAGCACTGACTGATTATGTTATCTCCTCTAGTCACCACTTGCCCATAAACCTGCAGTTGGACATTTGGGGACGGGAAGAGGAGAAGGAGGGGAGGAACGGAGGGAGGGAGGGATGTGATCAGTAATGTTCTCTCAAGCCTGGTGCATGAGTAACAGCAGGGGCTGTGTGTGTGTGAGAGAGAGGGGGCGGGGTCACCCACTATTTGTGGTCTCACTGATGGATGGGCATGACGGTTTTTATTCTGGAGGCACTCAGATGCAGCTTGTAACAGAGGGTTTTTCTGGAATATCAGCGGGAGAGAGAGAGTGAGGCAGAGTGGGGTGGGGGGGGTGGGTGCTATCAGCTCGGAGGTAAACGTTGCTGAAGATCAGTCTCTGGATTACAGTGTCGACCAGCTTTAGGATCTCTGCCTTCCATTGTGCTACTGAGGGCTTGTGACCCAGGAGAAATCCTTTTGGGGGGTTGGGGGGGTGGGGTGGGGAGGGGGAGGTGGGTAACTGGGAGGTAGGGTGGGGGGTGGCGAGGTGCCTGGATTGAGACAGCTCCGGTGGTTTTTGTCATGTACTGAAGGATTTGTTTTTTCTGGAGACCCCCCGAAGGATTTCCTCATCTCCCTCCCTCCCCCCTCACCTTACCCCACCTCCCCCCACCCCCACTCCCCTCCTAAACATCATGGACAGAGGATGGAAGCTGCCTGGGATTGTCAGCACTGGGATTCTCCTGCTGGCTGCCTGTCGGATCTATACAAGCGCCTGCCCAGCTCTGTGTATCTGTGCAGGGACCGCTGTGGACTGTCACGGTCTAGGGCTGAGATCAGTGCCCAAGAATATCCCGAGGAGTACCGAGAGACTGTGAGTATTAACCCAGCCTTTATATATCTATCTATGTATGTATATATTCCCCTGTCTGGTCTTCAGCCTTGCCTGGCTGGGAGGGGTGCTGGAGGGCGATTGAACAGCATGCTAGCCCTGCCAGAGCCAAACTTCGAAATTCTTGGCTACTTTGTCAGTCTCCCTGCACCCATCCCGCGAAAGATGGAAGGATGCAGGGTCTGCAATAACCAACCTGGTCTTGCTCCGTCCGTGCCGGCCCCAGCGTATTTTGTGTTGCAATTAGCAGCGGCCTCTTTGTCCCCTCGAACGCATTGCCGTGTTAGCACCCTCACTCCTAAAAGGCTGTGGGTCCAAGTTCCCATTCCCACAAAGTCCAGGGGACAATCAGGGTTCACACAGTTGGCTGAAGTGTTGAGGGAATGCAGCATTGTCAGAGGTGCAACCTTTGTAATGGAACATCAGTTGGAGGCACCCATCTCTGGCCCCAAGTGGATTTAGCAATCCACCCCCCCTCCCCACCCCGCACTATCTGGAAGAATATATAACTCCCGAATCAACACCAAAAGACCTGATTGTAATTGCATTGCAGTTTATGGGAGCTTACTGTGTGCAGAGTCCTACATTCCAAAAGAGACAGGACTTTTAAAAGTACCTCAAAAGCTGGGAAGGACTTTGGGACATTCTGAGGTTGCAAAAGGCACTGCAGAAATCAGGTCCCAGCCTTTGTTGCGAAAAAAAAGTTGTAAAATATAAATGCCTTACCAGATCTAACAGGATCGTCCTGGATTTTGGGTTCAAAAACAGTATTTTTTTTGGAATACAGTTCTGTCCGCACAAACCTAATGGTGTGTGTATGTGTGTGTGTATATCAGTTGGTGTTTGAAGATGTGTGTGAATGAATGTGAATGTGCATTTGAGCATGTTTATGTGTGTGTGGAGTACGGGATGGTCTTTGGCTTGTGTAAGTGAGAGTGTGGGTGAGTGTTGAGTGTGAGTTTGTGAGAGTAAATGCGTGTGAGTCTGTGTTGTCAAGAATGTGAGTGTGTGTTTGTGAGTGTGAGTGTGCATGTGCATATGTGTGCAGGAGTGAATATGTGTGCATGTGTGAGGATGTCTGAGTGTGACTGGGCATGTGTGTGTGTGTATGACAGTCTGCGTGTGCATGTGTACACATGTATGGGTATGCATATATATGTGTGTATACGTGTGTGAACATCAGTGAGTGTATGTTTATGCATGTAAATGTTAGTGAGCATATATATGCACAAGGGTTATGTCCGCATGTGTGGTTTCCTGTGTCTATGTGAATGTGATTGTGAGATTGCGTGCATTGTATGTGTGAGAGTTTGTGAGTGTGTATGCATGTGTGTGAGAGTGAGTGAGTGTGTGTGTTTGTGAGAGAGAAAGAGTGTGTGAGAGACACTTACACATCCGCATGCCAACACGCACACACATTTACACATACTTGCACTCATGTACAAACAGTCAAACATAGCAGTTGCCCACTCTTTACAGTAGTGGTGCTGAGGTTACTATTTCAGCTGTCATTATACTCAGCTACCCCAGGATTTTATGAATGGAATGCATGCTCTGTAGGGTCAGCACTACATTGAAGCCTAAGCTTTGAGGGAAGACTGTGTACTTGTGAAAACCACACAAGGATTCTCTCAGCTCAGCTGAGGATTCTGCACTTGCCTGTCAAGAGATGAACCCATACTCCCAGCAGGGGGCAGCACCCACTGTGAGCACACCAAAGGAAATTCTGCTCCCTGACAGTGTCCCTCCAACTGAGATCAAACATGTCCTGGGATTACAGCAAAACAGATTTCTGTCCTTGTTACTGTGCAATTATTTCCAGTATCCTGACTGAATACCTCTGTTATCTATTATTCTACATATAAATTCACTAAACCCTTCAATTAGATTTCAGGTCTGTAACCCATTCCTGAGGATCTGTTATTAACCATCTTGAAACCCTCAATTAAATTTCAGTCTATAACTCACTCCTGGGTATCTGTTATTCTGTATGTAAACCCCTCAAACTCCTCAATCAGATTCCTGTCTTATCAATGGATTGCCTTGTTCTGTGTGAAATGTGCATTTGACTTTAATGCCCTGGTTTTGGAAATAATTTGTGTTGTCAGGCCAAGAGATGAGTGGGTTGCCAACTTTCATCCTAGTGACATAGCCTGATGACCCGCTTTGTATGGGAGGAGATATGTAACTGTATATATTTGTTTTTGTGCTCATGTGTATATGTGGCAGTACTAATATATTTCTATGTATGAACCTGTATAACTATGCATTTTTGACAACGTGTATATGTGACTGAGTGCATGTCTATATCTATATGTATATGCATGTATGTAAAGGGTTTGTGTACCTATGTGTATGTATAGATGTGCGTATATGTGTACTTCTGTATCTATGTGTGTAACCTTTAATCCTCTTGCCTAACAAAGACTATCAACCTCACTTTTCAATTTTTCATTTGATCCCAAATGTCAGCAGCAGTTGTTTGGAGAAAATTCCAAATTTCCACTTCTCTTTGTGTGAAGCAATGCTTCCTAACATCACTCTAAATGATCTTGCTGTAATTTTTAAAGTTCTGTTCCCCTTCTCCAGACTTCTCCCACCAGAGGAAATACTTTCTGTCTATCAATCCAATCAAATCCTTTTAATCATTTTAAACACCTCAATTAGATTTCCAATTAATCTGTTCCACTCTAGGGAAAACAAGCCTGATATATGCTGCATGTCCTCAGAATTTGATCCAGAAAGCCCCCATAACATTCTGATGAATCTCTGAATGAGCTGTACTGCATGGTTATGGTGGGTTGGGGTGAGGAACACAGTAGCCACTTTATACATAGCAAGATCCCACAACCAGCAGTTTGTCTGATTTTTCCGGTTCTTTGGTGGTGTTGATTAAGAGGGTGTTTTAGTTCGGCCAGGAAAACCCGTTTGCTATACAGCCAAATGCGCTGTGGTATCTTTAATGCCCAGCTGAGCAGACAGATGGGCTGTTTAGTTTAACTCATTTGTACAAGTCAGTACAACTTCACTATCTTTGTATTCCAGCCCCCACTCAGATAAAGGCCAACATCATTTTTGTATCCATGTCCATTTTGCTGATTTGTATCCATGGACAGTGAAATGTTTTAATGCTCCTTTGCAGCTCCTAGTTTCTGGCTAATGGGAAACTCATGGCACTGAGGGAGCTAGTGGGAGCTGATGGAGTTGTCGTAATATTGCTGCATCCAGAGGGTCAGACTGCTGCTTTTTTATTTAAGTTCAGTAATAAGCAGCCTGAGAGTCATTTTTTTTTAAAAATAAACCTATTTTTCTAATCAACCTGCTCAGTGATGTTACTACACAGCTCTAGAACAGGTGGAACTTGAACCTGGGCCCCTGGCCCAAAGGTAGAGCTGTTACCAATGCACCGCAAGAGCGTCTCTCCTAGATTGCTGCTTAGACAACATGAGTTCAGTTCCCACTGTGAAAACTAATGGGACCGGAATCAATCAATTAATTAATTAATCCGAAATTGAAAGCTGGACGCAGTCATATGGAGCTTTATCCTCAAAGGCTTAATCCTCAATCTCTCCAATGCCTTGGCCAATAGAACATCTGACAAACCCAGTGAATGTGAAGTATATTGAGGAGGGCTGTGTGAGAGTATTCTTTAATGGCTTTTGTACATACCTCAGAGTCACAGAGCTGTTACAGCACAGAAGGAGGCCATTCAGCCTATCTGCACTGGCCCTTGAAATGAGCTCAATTGCCTAGAGTCAGTCTCCTGCATTTTCTCCACATACCCTTACATATTATTTTTATCCCAATCATCATCCAATTCCCTTTTGAATGCCTCCGTTGAACCTGCCTCCACTACACTTCCAAGCAGTGCTTTCCATAGCCTAACTACACTCTGGGTGGAAATGTTTTCCCTCACTTGGAGCTTATCCTTCCCGTGCCATTCCCTCTTGACGGGGTCCTCCACTCTCAGAGGCAGAAGGAACAGAGAAACCTCAAGCTCAAATGCTGTCTTGGGCAGGGCAGGGTTGGGACAACCTCACACCAGTATGTATTGCCATCTCCCACACCACTCGCTACCATTCCCCCGCTCTGCCAACACCACTACCTCAATCTGACCAACCACGGTGCCTGACCTGTTCAGTTCTGGGATCCCTCAGAGTTGGCAGTTTTTATACCTAGCAGGTTCATTGAGGTATATTATCAGTGTACTGATCCCTCACTATTCAGTTTATCTCATTGGTTTATATTGAGCGGACCTCAAACTCAAATCATCAGTGTGAATTTGCAGTTTTCTGATGAGGACCTTTAGGTGACAAAGGATGAAGAGTAACACTCACTCCTACTGCACAGGCTTTATTCTAGGTGCAGGGCCAATGAAGAGCTATTGGGGAAACATAACTTTCAGAGTGGAGGGGCACAAGACTCATGACAACAAGTCTCTAGCCATTTTCTCCTTTACTGAACATTCCCCAGGGACAAATAACTAGGTGCAGGCACAGTGGGCTGAATAGCCTCCTTCTGCATCGTAGCAGTTCCGTGGAATCTCCCAAAGCCACTTGGGGCAGGGGCCATTGTAGAAGCTTGGACACAAGCTTGTTCTCCAATGGTTGGCTGCTCCTTGGTACATGCCAAGAATGTTCTTGGTAGGCACAGTGTCTGTTTCTGTCGTAACTCTCTGCGGCCTGTTCACGCCACACAAGAATGCTGTTAGGAACTGGAATGTAAGTTGTGAAGGTTCATATGCGTTCTTTTCCAAACAGGCGTGCAGTTGTCTTCAAACCCGTTATTATGTGGTCAGAAAGCAGATGTATTTGTACTCGATGTTTGTAAACCTCACGAAGATCATTATTCTCTTCACCTCCTGTTGCGAGCTGGAAAATACACTGTTGTAGTGGTTACATGCTCAAATATTTAAAGGGTTGAACAGTGGAAACCCTGATTCGAAGGAGCCGTCTCCATTAAGAAGCTAATTCCTCCAGTGATAAAAACAAACTGCATGCCAACCATTTGCTACCTCCTGGCATCCTCAGCTTTCTCTGCTTGCTGTAAAGAAATAAGTATTGCATTTCCTCAGTGGCTTTCACAACCTCACAATGTCCCTATGTTTTGCAAATGAAAGAAAGTTTTTGAAGTGTAATCACTGAGGCAGTGTAAAGATGAAGGAAGCTGACCTGTACACAGCAACCTCCCACAAACAGCAATCAGCTAAGAACTGGTGATGTTGGTAAAAGGGTACAGAATACCAATGTCAATAAACAAGGAACTGGAAAAGTACAGGTGATCAGACAGCATCTGAGGAGCGGGAAAGTCAACGTTTCGGGCCGAAACCCTTTGACATGGGTTCAATTTCTGTACCGGTTGACCTTACCATGAAGGACTCTCTTTCTCAACCTGTCCTCTTGCCTGAGGCATGGTGACCCTCAGGTTAAAACCACCACCAGTTATTTGACTCTAATGAGAGAGCAGCCCCGTGGTCAGGTAAAATTGTGACAACTTTACCTTATCAACCAAGGCAAGAGCTCCCCACACTTCCTGGTGCATTGTTTTACTTGAACCCACAAACTCCCTCCCACTGTCCCACAGGATTTGACCATATAACTCCCAGGTGAGACTCCCACTGCGGCACTGAGGGAGTGCTGCACTTTTGGAGATGTTACTCTTCTGACGAAACATTAAACCAAGGCCTGGCAACACTCCTGACTAAGGTGAATCCCTCAGCTCACATCACTAAAAGAGCTGACTGGGTTGTATATTACAGTGGAGGCTGATTACAGTGTGGAAATTGGCTGCCTTGGCTCTTACAGAAGGTCCTTGTCAGTTGGATGTAAACAATAGAAGGAGAGTCCTTCATGGTAGGCTCACCCACAGTACAGAAGTTGAACCTATGTTCTTGGTGTCACTCTGCATTGCAGACCAGCTAACCCAGCTAAATGAACCCCTCTCAGTTGATAGCTATCCTTCGACCAACGACATTGATACCACCTACTCATTATCACACAACTGTTTGAGAACACTTTCTGTATACTACTTGGCTGTCAAGATTCCAACATTACAAATGACTAAACACATGTTGCAAGAGAATGTAAGGAATCTGCAAGGGGATGTAGACAGGTTGAGTGAGTGGTCAAAACGTTCGCACGTGGAGTTTTAATGTGGGAAAGTGTGAGGTCGTGGACTTTGATTGGATGAATCAAAATGCAGACTCTTATTTAATTGAAGAGTGACTCCAACAAAGTGCAGTGCAGAGTGATCTGGGTGTTCGTTTGCATGAGACACAAGAAGTTATAATGTAGGTGGAGCAAGTAATTGAGAAGGCAAATGGAATTTTGTCTTTATTGCTCGGGGATTGGAGTTTAAAAACAAAGAAGCTTTGTTATAATCGCACAGTGTGTTGGTAAGGTTGCAGCTGAGTGCTGTGTGTAGTTTTGGTTCCCATATTTAAAAAAGGATATTCTGCCTTTGGAGGCAGTTCAAAAGAGATTCGTTAGGCTGATTCCTGGATTGAAAGGGTTAACTTATCAAGAATGGTTATACAGGCTGGCCTTTATTCATTAGAGTTTAAAAGAATGAGGAATGTTTGCATTTAAACATAAACGATTCTGTGGGGGCTTTCTGTTGAGCTGATGTTTTCATTAGTGGGGGAATCTCAAACTAGGGGATACAGCTACAGAATGTGGGTTCACTCCTTTAAGACTGAGATGTGAAAGCATTTCTTCTCCCAGAGGGTATTGAATGTCTGGAATTCTGCCCCCCAGAAAGTTGTGGAAACTGGATCACTGAACATATTTAAAGAGGAGGTAGATAGATTTTTGAAATATAGTGCAGTTGATGATTATGCCGAGCTGACCTGATAAAGGAGTGGAGGCCTGGGGCAGATCAGCCACAATTTTGTTGAATGATAGAGCAGGCTGGAGGAGCCAAATGGTTTGTTCCTATTTATCATGTTCTTACTGTACAATATGCTTTATACATACAACACTTTCTTTTATTTGAATGCTCGCCATGCTGAATAAAGGGAACCTTGAATATTATTCCTTCCTCTGTTCCGTGTATAGTAAAGCAGAGCATAACCATCAGGTGAGTAATAGTTTGGCTCTGTAGCAAAGCTACATTTAGTCACAGACTCTGCCAGCATTCACTATCTAGGAAATTTGCATTAGCAATTGAAACTCACACAGAACGACAAATGGTGATCGTGAGACTGTGTTGTCAACAGTAAAAATCAAGTTACAGACTGGAAGATGGTTCATTGATGATAGTTTGTCTGATTTGTTCACAGGGAACTCAATGGAAACAATATCTCACGGATCAGTAAGAGTGACTTCGCAGGACTCAGGCACATTAGGGTCCTGTGAGTATCATCAACGTCAGCATAAAAGAGAACTGATACTGCTTTAGAATAAGATTGTTTATACATAGGCACTGTTAAAACCTCCACTGTTTGCATCCAATGTACGAGAAGTTATGTGAGCTGCAATGGGGTTAAACACCCATGGCAGCCCCCTTTTGCAAGCCATTTTAGGGTAGTTACCATCCCCCTAAAGGCCATATGAGATGGTAATAGTTGCTCATGCGTTCAGTATAATTCTGGTTCAAGTTCTCCTGCTGGCAGTGGACACACCTCAAAGGGCTGGGTGGTGTTGGGTTAGGAAAAACAGAAACTGTCCTGTATTCTATTAGAGCCGGAGAGTTCAGCCAGCATTGGTGTGGGGACAGACAAGTGGGTAAACTATTGCACCTGGCATGCACTGTCCCTGTCCTGGGAGTGTTTGATGAGGACAGTGTAGAGGGACATTTACTCTGTATCTAACCCCAAGCTGTCCCTGTGCTGGGAGTGTTTGATGGGGACAGTGTAGAGGGACATTTATTTTGTATCAAACCCCATGCTGTCCCTGACCTGGGAGTGTTTGATGGGGACAGTGTAGAGAAAGTTTTACTCTATTTATTCCTGTGCTGTACATATCCTGGGAGTGTTTGATGGGGGACTGTATAGAGGGAGCTTTACACTGTACCTAACCGTGTGATGTACTATCCTGGAGTGTTTGATGGGGGACTGTATAGAGGGAGCTTTACACTGTACCTAACCGTGTGATGTACTATCCTGGGAGTGTTTGATGGGGACAGTGTAGAAGGAGCTTTACTCTGTATTTATTCCCATGCTGTATCTCTGCTGGAAATGTTTGAAGGGGCAGTGCAATGGGAGTCATATGCTGGTTTGTGTTATTGCATAGATTTCAGGCAAACAGGCAAGGTACATTTAAGACAGTTACATGACTTCATCATTGGTCTAAAGGGTCTCGCCTTCCATCACTGTGTCAATGAAGTGAAGTCAGTGTAGTGTGTTCACGCAGTCAGTATGCTATGTGTATGTAATGTCCAGTAACATCAGTAGCACAGACCCAGATGTTGTACGTGTCTGTGATATTACAGCAATGTGAAGAGTTTGTGTTAATAAATGTCAAGACATCTGTCTCAATAAGAACCTGATACTTATGGCATAGGTTGCATGAGCTAACACATAGGGAAGCACTTAGACTATGTCACACTGTTTCACCCAAGCCAAATGTTGACAGCTAGTTAATATTAACTAGTTATTGCTAAAGGCTGAAGAGGTGATAGCAAGAGATAGTAGGAACTATAGCAACACTGGCCATTGTGAAAAGTTCTTTCCTATCGCCTACCTGAGTTCAGAGCTAAGGTTTATGAGCAAGTCTAATCTGCTCTAACCCTCACTAAAGTTCAGCACCTTCAGATTGAGGAATGGTTGTGAATACACTAGCTGTGTCTTTAAAACAAAAGAAGGCCTCAGCTGATCTAGTTTCAAAAGTGCTGAAGGGGCTCTTGGGGAAACTCTGAACCAGAAGGCCTGGGTTCAAGTTCCACCAGCTGCAGAGGTGTGTTGTAACATCTCTGAACTAGTTGATTTGAAATTATCTTAAAAAGCACTGAAGGATAGCTCCAAGACAACAAGGTGCAGGGCTGGATGAACACAGCAGGCCAAGC